TATTAAGCGATTTTAGATAAAATTATAGATCTAGAAACGAATAGATATTTATTCGTATTAATGGCCTTAACGACTTCTGAAAATCTACGTAGATGACCATATGAAAGTGCAGAAAAAATTGTCCCAAAATATAAAAGGAAGGTAATAAAGAGGAAAAAGGATGAAATAATTATTAGTAAAGAGGATATTTTCGAGAGTGTGAGTAGATCTTGAATAAGCAAGTTAGTCATTCCAGACCAGCTAATGCGACGAAAGAGTGGTAGATGAATTTTCATATAATAGTGTGAGTAAGCCTCACGATACCAATGAAGTTCATCTAACATTGTCTCCCAAACTATATTGTCATCTAGGGTTGACAGTAGTTTCGATATCGCCCGAGTCTCATCAGCATCCCGATTGAGGGTGCTAATGAGACTGAGACGTGGTAGAAAATACAGTCAACCCTGGAGGAGAATGAATTTTGGGAGGCAAGACTAAGCAAACTTTAAAAGTATCGTGAAGCCAATTCATATAAATATGTGAAAATTCGCTATCACACCATCATCATGTTAAGCTACCTAGGGTGACTGATTTTCTTGTTTGTAAAATAAGTAAGCAGCTCTGGGAAAGTAAAGAGGTGAAGATTTGGCAAAGATAGTGTTATTTATGAGAGTGGGGTGAATGAATTGCATCAATTAATATTTTTCAACAAAAGACAAACACTTAAAATAAATCTGCAAACAAAAAAAAACAAAACGAAAACCAAATTCTAAAGACTGGCCAGTGAAACGAATAAGTTAGCAAATTGCTGCAAGACACTTCTGTTCGAAAAGGCCTCTATTAATGGTCCAGCTTGGATAGGTCTGGTAGACTGATGGAAGGACTGGCATCTAAGAGACTGTTACTTATGAATGCATAGGCAACCGCCTTATCACCCGCTTCGTCATTCAGGCGGATTAAGGGCATATTTTTGCAGTCCTCCAGATTGTTCAGAGTAAGAGCAGAGTTTGAGATTTGATTCAATGCTGTAGCTCTTCTAAAATGGAGCGGCCCTTCGTTGCTCCCACGACTTGCAAGACGCAAACAGCTGGCCGAATGCCAACATCGATGTGTACACCGGGCCCGTTCATTTGTCGAGGGCAAGAAGCGATCTTTGATAAAGGAAGCAGGACCAGCTGAGTTGGAATATCCCGGCTTTCCGCAGATCTGCATAAAACCGGAATGTTTGCTGGAGGGAAGGCAATATGGACTGTGATAACAGCCGTGTATGCAACGCGGGTCTGGCAACAATTTTCGCAAAGATGAAGAGATAGTCAAGGTGTTATTGCGATTCTCGTTATATCGGCCGATGGAAAAAGATGAAGTCAAAGCTGGCCGTTCAGACACTTGACCCAAGCGAGCCGATTGGTTGACAGGAATCTGAGTTGCCCAGCCGATATTAAAGCCAGATGTGGTCTGAAAGGGAGGGCTGAGCATGCGTTGTTCAGGCAAGTCAGGCCTCAAGGGAAGATGTCCCTTGTCTGGTCGAGAAGAGTAACGGCTGAATAAGTAACACGGCAATGCGTAAAAATATATAATGAACTACAAAGTGTCTATCGACTTCAATCTTTCTAGTCTATCTAGTATGTCTATAGACAATTTATCTAGTCTAATTATTTTATGGTGATAAGATTGCGTTACTTTAACGAGATAGGGGAGAAGTTATACAAGTATTTTCCTAGTAATTAGAGAATCAGGAATGTTTCTTGAAACAAGAAAATATTTTAATGATCTATGCAGTGTTTTGTTGAAATTGCAATCAAGGTCCCAGAGTCAGTGCTAGAAAAAGATGAGATTAGGAGAAAAATAGTAGAATTTATTTAATGGTTGGCCAATCCTAAAAGCCGTCGATGCTCAGGCCCGTCGTCAGATAAATTTCTTGATCATCATCAAAATACATTTCGGAAGCCTGCAATATGGTCTTTCCTGGACTATTAAAGTTCGATCAATTTATGGCAAAACTCTCCACTCTTTTTATAGGAGATACGAACTCATACAAGTCGTGGCTTCCAAGGCCTCAAAGTCTGATATTAGGGTCTGCTACGTCACGAAGCCTATAGATCACAAAAGGTAAGAGAAGTGACATCAAGCTGGAGAGATAAGATTCATTACTGTTCCTATATTTTTGAAATAAAGGTACACTTAAATCCTAGGTTCATTATTCAGGAGCACAAGGAGATTTTTAGAGGCTATAAAGTTCAATTGTCTAGCTCCTGCAGTCATGTTCTATGTGGTTGCATCTGCCTACCTTAAGGAATTCTTTCAACCATCTTTACCTCTATATATGCTTATTGATAGCGAGTTACGCTCATAATAAAACCTATTTCAAGGTCTAAACCAAAGAACGGTTTTTAAAAGTAATGGATCATAAAGTGAATTATTTCATGTAGATTTAAGTGCACTAAAATTAAAAAAATCAGATCCAAAGATGAAAGTATTTAGGAAATATATTTTTTAAACATTATAAGGCATTATGGCATATAAAGTCCTATTTATTCTCCTGTCCAGACAACTATCTAAATAGCTCTCGGTATACAGATTTTCGACAAAAGAAATAGTATAAATCAAAGGCAATGAAAGGAAATTGAAAGAGTTCGATTATAATCATTGTTATTTGATCAAGTTCTCGCGTATTTTATAATAAGACAGTTAAGTAATAAAAAATGAAGATAAAAATGACTAGGCCATGACAGATAAATGGACAATTTGACTGAGATACGGATAGTGCCAACCCATATATGCTCAAATTCGTTGTGTGCAGAATAAGTGGTTAAAAGTATAGAAATTATATACAATAATGAAATCTCTTAGGAAATATTTGAGCCCCCTGGCTACTTGGAATTGTTAGAAAGTCTTGTATTCGTGCAATTGCATTTATACAGAAAGGCCTTGTTGATTCCTACATAACATGACAATGCAACATGAAAACATATCTGCGGGTAGATAGTAAAATTAGCCAAGCAAATTGAAAGTATGGAATACGAAATAATGAGGTCAAACTCATCATTTTATCTTGCAAGAGTAATATCTCGAAGTGAACAAATTTATACACAAAATTAAACAAATTAGTCAATTAGGCCCAATAAATAGCTGAGCAGTAGGATTATAGAGTATGAAGGAGAAGCAACGACAAGAGAATGTCTTCTATTCTTAAAGCTTGGGTAGAAGTCTATAATTCAAAATAATAAATGATACTGTAGC